AGTACTTCACTGCCCTGCTTCAAGATAAAGGTGAGACCCTGGGAAGGGGTCAGAAAATATGGAGATGATAATGGGAAAGGAGAAAAGGGAGAAAGACCCAGAGGAAGAGTACCTATGTAGGTACATGGACCAAAAAGTAATTCAATGGGAGAGTGAAGAAGTGTCTGGCAGCATTTTCTAGATTCTGAACATGTCTATGAATGTCTAAAAGTTTTTGATCTGGTAAAATGAACCATTACCTGCATACTCACCCAGAGTTTGTGGCCCTAATTCTGGGGATCTGTATATATCCTGAGGACACATGGACATACACACACACACACACACACACACACACACGCACACACACAATCAGAAGCAGAATCTGTATTTCATTAACATGCCTTGGGCATTTCTTTCTGCACCCATGTCTTCTCCATTTTGTCAGCTAGAAAGTATGCTTGAGGGTTGTAAACTCTTAGCTACAGGGGCCGGGGTATCATAAATGTGTAATGTAGGCTGAGTGTATGAAGTTAAATGACAACAGACACTTGTGTTCTGTGTCAGGGAGACACAGAAAGTGAGCACTGTGGTGAACTGGAGGGAGCATGTTGCCCACCTTAAGACAGTAGCTTCTGTTCACCTCTATTCTCATATCATTTTCCTGTTGTCACTGTAACAAATTATAACAAACATGATAGCTTAAAACAACACAAATTTGTTACCTGCCAGGGCTGGAGTTCTGAAGTCCAAAATAAGCCAGGTGGGCTGGGCACAGTGGCTCATGCCTGTAATCCCAGCACCCAGGGAGACCGAGGCAGGCAGATACCTTGAGCTCACGAGTTCAAGACCAGCCTGGGCAACATGGTGAAACCCCGTCTCTACTAAAAATACAAAAAAAAACTAGCCAGGCCTGGTGGTACGCACCTGTAGTCCCAGCTACTCAGGAGGCTGAGGTTGAAGGATGGTCAGAGTGCCACTGCACTCCAGCCTGAGACAGAGCCAGGCCTTGTCTCAAACAAAAACAAACACAAAACAAAATGGGACTGGGTGTGACAGCTCACACCTGTAATCACAGCACTTTGGGAAGCTGGTGCAGATGGATCACCTGAGGACAGGAGTTCGAGACCAGCCTGGCCAACATGGTGAAACCCTGTCTCTACTAAAAATACAAAAATTAGCCAGGTGTGGTGACATGAACCTGTAATCCCAGCTACTTGGGAGACTGAGGCAGGAGAATCACTTGAACATAGGAGGGGGAGGTTGCAGTGAGCTGAGAGCTGAGATGACGCTACTGGACTCCAACCTGGATGACACAGAGAGACTCTGTCACAAAAACAAAACAAACAAAACAAATGGGCCAGGTGCAGTGATTCATGCCTGTAATCTCAGCAGTTTGGGAGGCCAAAGCAGGAGGATAGCTTATGGTCAGGAGCTCTAGACAAGCTTGGGCAACATAGTAAGACCCCATATCTACAAAATATATAAAATGTGTGTATGTATATCTATATATACATATACATATATATAGAGAGAGAGAGAAAAAGAGAGAGAGAGAAAGAGAGAGAGAGAAAGAGAGAGAGAGAGAGAGAAAGAGAGAGAGAGACAGTTTTTGCTGTCACCCAAGCTGGAGTGCAGTGGCTCTATCTCGGCTCACTGCAACCTCCACCTCCTAGGTTCAAGTGATTCTCCTGCCTCAGCCTCCAGAGTAGCTGGGAATTACAGGAGCCTGCCTAATTTTTGTATTTTTAGTAGAGATGGAATTTCACCATGTTGGCCAGGCTGGTCTTGAACTTCTGACCTCAAGTGATCCGCCCACCTCAGCCTCTCAAAAGTACTGGGATTACAGATGTGAGCCATTGCACCCAGCCATCATATATATATATATATATATATATATATATACACACACACACACACACGTGTGTATATATATCATATATGTGCGTGTGTGTATATATATATATACATATGTGTGTGTGTGTGTTTGTGTGTGTGTGTGTGTGTGTGTGTGTGTGTGTAGCTGGGTGTGCTGGTGCCTGTCTGTAGTCCCAACTACTAGAAAGGCTGAGGTGAGAGGATTGCTTGAGCCTAGGAATTTGAGAGCAATGTAGCAGTGAGCCATGATCACACTGCAAATCCAAATGAAGAATCTGCACCTTGGGCAAGAGAGCAAGACTCTGAAAATAAAACAAACTATTGACACAAAAAACACCATGGACGAATCTCAAAATAATCATCTTGAATGAAAAAAAAAAAAAAAAAAAAAAAAAAAAAGGAAACCAAAGGATCAAAGGGTCTTGCAGAACTAAAATCTGGAAATTCTAGGGGAGAATCTATTCCATGCCTTTTCTATCTTCTAGAGGCTGTCCATATTCTTTCACTCATGGCCCCTATTCCTCTTCAAAGTCAACAATCACCTAATTCTGACCTGTACTTACTTTTGACTTCTTTATTTTTTAATTTTTATTTTTTGGTAGAGACAGGGTCTCACTATGTTGCCCAAGCTGGTCTCAAACTCCTGACTTCAAGTGATCCTCCCACCTCAGCCTCCTAAAGTGTTGGGATTACTGGCATGAGCCACCGAACTGGGTCTGACCTCTTCTTCTTTGACTCTGACCCTCCTGCCTCCCTCTTTCACTTATAAAGGCCCTTGAGATTACATTGGGCCCACCTGGGATAATCCAGGATCATCTCCTTATCTCAAGATCTTTATCTTAATCACATCTTCAAAGTCTTTTGCCATGTAAGGTAACAGTCATAGGTCCTGGAGATTAGGATGTGGACATCTTTATGGGGAGCATTCTTCTGCCTACCATCTCTGAAGTGAAACAATTCATCTGACACACACTTAGCAAATGTGTACCAGGCACGCTAAGCACTATGGTAGGGGCTACAAAGATGAATAAGACACAGTCCTTACTGCCAATAGTTTGCTATCTATAATAGTAAGATGTACATGTACACAAACAACTACAGCATGATGTGCTTTATGCACTAAAATAAATGTCACAGCTACTTACACAGTGCCTTGATGTGAATATGCACATCCCTAAACTCATGTGATACTCATAATCCAAAGTTGTTACCCAGGTTTTACAAATGAAGAATCTGCACCTGAAGGTCAAAGAGGTTTAGGATTTTTCCTAAGAAAGCTCAAGTCTCTTACTACATTCATTCTGCTTGGGTAGGGGACCAAAAGGAGGGTCCAAAGAGGGTCAGGGAAGGTCTGCAACCTCCCACCATGTGTCCTGTAATCACCACCGCTCCTTCCTTTGTAGAGATCATGACCTCATTCCCCAAAGCAGCCTCACTATATGACCTTGTCAGTTTTCTTTTTATGAGTGAGTCTTGTTCTCCCAATCAGATGGCAAGTCTATTGGGAAGAGAGACCTTGTCATATTTCACTATATTCCTTTCCATGCCTTGCCTAAGCTCTTTTGTTGGTAGAGAGTTGCCATCACTAGTTCTTTCATGGTATTACGTTGTGTTGTCAGATGATGGGGGAGGGTCAGGCGAATCCTTTCCAAGTGATGTAGAGCCAGGAAGACAGGTTTCTTAAGGATGTGCAAATGAGCACACCTGGGGCACTGCCAGATGACTTTCCCCAGTGAAGGGAGACAATTAGACAATGTAAGGCAGGCTGGGGCGGTTGCTGAAGCCTGTAATCCCAGCACTTTGGGAGGTTGATGCAGGTGGATTGCTTGAGCTCAGAAGTTCGAGACCAATCTGGACAATAGTGAGACCTGGTCTCTAATAAAAATACAAAAAATAAGCTGGGCATGGTGGTGCATGCCTGTGGTCCCAGCTACTGAGGAGGCTGAGGTGGAAGGGTAAAGTAGAAGGATGGCTTGAGCCCGGAGACGGAGGTGGTAGTGAGCTGAGGTTGTGCCACTGTACTCTAGCCTGGGTGTCAGCAAGAAACTGAAATAAAAAGAGAGAGAGAGAAAAGGAAGGGAGGGAGGGAGGACAGAAGTAGCCTGAAAAGGTGGAGTGGGGAGAACGAAATGAAATATAGAAAGAAGGGCTTCTGCTGAGGCCTGGGGCTGAGATCATTAAGGTGTAGGGTGCAGATCCTGCCCTTAGCTTAGAAACAGAAGAGACCAGAAAAGTCAAAATCATCCAAGATATGAGAATCTCAATTTTCTTCTTTTCAGAGTCAACAGACAGTTTGATAGCTTACAACAATATTTCCTTTTGAAATATTCAAGTGTTTCAGTGAAACATTGAAACAAACAAGTGATTCCAGAGAAATCACTGTCTCCTTTTCACCCACGAAAATGTCAAGGACTCAGTGAGGTTAAGTCACTTGCCCAAGGTCACACAGGGAAGCCTGGAGGCGAATCCAGGATCCTGAGGTCTCCGGGTCAGCGTCCCCCGCAGTTCTGGCAGCAGGAGAACGGGCACGTACCCACAACGAGGGCATCATAGTGACGGAGCTGATGACCCGGCCACTGACCTGCGGGTGGCCGGCGAGCCACGGCAGATTCCTGGGTCGGCCCCGGTAGACACGCTGCCTGGCTCGGTTCTGCAGGAGCGCCTAAGGAACCGGCACCCTGGGGCTCAGGTTGTGCAGCTCCAGGTCCTCGGCCTCCCACAGGCGTCAGCGAAAGCCTGCCGCCCCGGCCGGGGACCAGCAAGAGTCGGGCAGCTGGCAGGGGCTCCCTGGGGACCCACCTCAGCCGCGCAGCCGGCTCGAGTCTCCTGGGAGGCAGGGCCGGAAGGGCACGGGCGAAGGCCAGCCGCGGCCGCTTGGGAAGGACCGCCTCGCCTGCTACCGACCTAAGTTAGAACACCTGGATGACCGACGCCCCCAGGATGCAGGTGCAGGCGAGACTCTCCCAGCCACAGCACCCTGCGTCCCCGCGGAGGCCCTCGGGAGCCCAGCGTGTAGGCTCAAAATGGGGAAGGAGGAAGTAAAGCCTGAGTCGCCACTCCTAATCCCAGCCCGACAGGTGAGGGACCCGCGAGCAGCTTAGGGAGGGGACTCGGCCAGGTTCAGCCCCTCGGGGCCAATTGCCCCTCCGGGAGGCGTGGCCTGTGGGCCGCCCAGCCCTTAGTGGGCAAGCGGAAAATGCGGGCCCCGCCCCCCGCATATAAGACCAGTGCAGCACTGCAGCTAGCGCAGTTCTCACTGAGACCCGTCACCCCGACTCAACGTGAGACGCACCGCCCGGACTCACCATGGTGAGTGCGGCCCTGCTTGGGTCGTGCCCCTCCCCTAATTGCTCCTCTCCTTTGGGGGACACTCTTTCCAAGCCTGCTCGGGGACCTCCACCGGGCGTTCCAGGTCTCCAGGAGGTGCGAAGGTTTTGCATCCTCGTTCCCCAACCCCCTCCTGGTGACTTTGGCCGAGTCCTGTAGTTCACCTTCGGTGGCTGGGGATGGGACTTGGGGTGGAGTGCGACTCTTCAGTAACAGAGAGGAACCCTGGCACTCTGCACCTGCCTTACCCAGCATTTGTGTCCTGACTCTGGTTGAGAGTCACGCGGGCCCGCGCCCCGTCCTTTCCGCGGGCGAAAGAAGACCCATTTCGCTGCCCTCTTCCATCCCCAGTCCCTGGTCCCCTGAATTGACCGAGCACGTGCTTGGCGTTAGAAGGTGGAGGTCAGGTTACCTAGTGCCGCATCCCCCTTTACTCTGTGTATGCATTCCAACTATCCACGGAACCCCCCGCCTTGACTCAGCACCCCGCTTCTGAGCTGAGAGGGGTAGTGGAAACGGGGTTCGGCCTCCTGAAGCTAGCCGGCCCTCTCCAGCCGGAGCCCGGGTGCGCGGATAGGCAGAGACAGCTGGCGCTGAGCACTGCGCGGGCCGAGGCCAGGTTGGGGGGAGGGGAAAGAGGTGCGTGTAGGGGGTGGTATTTATAGCTCAGGAGCGGGGGCCGAAACCCAATCCCCGCTTTGGGCCGGGAAGTAACTGGAAAGACTCCAGAGGGAGAGCGGATGTAGGGCTGGGCTGCAGAATGGCGCCCACCTGGCGCGGGGCAAGGCGGGTTACCTCTGGGGCCTCCCCGCAGGTTCCGCTTCCTTTTCTGGGTATTTGGAAACCGTCACCCCGCCATTTCAGTGTGGGAAGGGAGGTGCGTGGGCCCTGCGGACTTTAGTGCTTTAGGGGTTAATTTCAGGCTGGCAGGGACGGAGCCTAAGGCAATGTGTGCCCCAATACCCTCAAACCTTATTGCTGGCCCCTACCGTCTGCGCTTACAAGCATTACCGCTGCTACTTCCGTGCGGGCTGACAGAGGAGATGAAAGCGGTGAAGACACCCAGGTTGCGGGGGTGGAGGTGGGGAGAGGAGCCAGATGGGATTGATCCCCAGAGCCAGATGGGATTTAAAGGTGAGGGAGGAGGGCATCCTGATGACGTGTGGTCCGTTGATACCAGATTGGATGGCTGAGACACCTCTGCAGCCTACAGGAAAGAAAGGGGGAAAGGGTTCTATGAATTCTAGCTGTTCATACTCAAAGCAAATAATCAAGGGGGTGGCCTCTAGCAGTAAACCCATACCTCCAGGAACCCTTCTTTTGTCATGTGGAGCCACAGTGCTTACTTGACAGATTCCCCACTGAAAAGTGAGCTAAGAGGTTGGCCTGCCCTGCTGGGTGCCTCCAGGTGGGGAGTCCTGTACCCGGGAGCCCAGGCAGGCTGCTAGCCTCTTCTCACCTCTGCCCAGCCCCAAGCCTCCACTCTTGCCAACTGAGTCATCCTAGCTGGTAGGTGATAGGGTGGAAGAGGGACTTGCGAGGTGACGACTTGTGGATGTGGGACTCATGCTGTGTCCCCTCTCTCTATCCCTCAGCGTGAATGCATCTCAGTCCATGTGGGGCAGGCAGGTGTCCAGATGGGCAATGCCTGCTGGGAGCTCTATTGCTTGGAACATGGGATTCAGCCTGATGGGCAGATGCCCAGTGACAAGACCATTGGTGGAGGGGATGACTCCTTCACCACCTTCTTCTGTGAAACTGGTGCTGGAAAACATGTGCCGCGGGCAGTTTTTGTGGATCTGGAGCCTACAGTCATTGGTGAGAGGAAGTGGGGACAAAATTGAGGGGGTTGGAGCATGACTCAAAAGCTTCTCCCTGGAGAGAGGGTATTTAGACCAGGCATTCCTGGCCCTGAAAACTCCTAGCCGTATTTGAAGCTGCAGAAGGCAAGCTGATCTCAGACTGGCCTGGGCAGCCGGTCTGGGTTTCTCTCACACTCTGGTATCTCAGGCTGGCAGGAGGATCGAAGTCCTTCCATGCATCTGGCCACAGCCACCACCCGGGGGGGGGAGGAAGGTCTCTGCTGAGCATAGCCTTGTGGTTTTTGCCCTTCCAGATGAGATTCGAAATGGCCCATACCGACAGCTCTTCCACCCAGAGCAGCTCATCACTGGGAAAGAGGATGCTGCCAACAACTATGCCCGTGGTCACTATACCATTGGCAAGGAGATCATTGATCCGGTGCTGGATCGGATCCGCAAGCTGGTGAGAATTTGTCTGGGGAGGGAGGGAACTTTAGAGACTGTCCTAATGGTCAGGAGTATTTTTTTCAGATCCCTTTCAGAGGTCATCTCTAACTGTACATGGTCTCGAATGTGGTACTGCTATGGCATCCTCAGTATGGCCCTGACTGCTGATATATTTATTTTATGCTTTATGGAGCCAGGTGATAGTCCCTTAGGCCCCTGCCTAAACTGTTCTTTCTCGTTCTTGCCTTTTAGTCTGACCAGTGCACAGGCCTTCAGGGCTTCCTGGTGTTCCACAGCTTTGGCGGGGGCACTGGCTCTGGCTTCACCTCACTCCTGATGGAGCGGCTCTCTGTTGACTATGGCAAGAAATCCAAGCTGGAATTCTCCATCTACCCAGCACCCCAGGTGTCTACAGCCGTGGTCGAGCCCTATAACTCTATCCTGACCACCCACACCACCCTGGAACACTCAGACTGTGCCTTCATGGTGGACAACGAAGCTATCTACGACATCTGCCGCCGCAATCTAGATATCGAGCGCCCAACCTATACCAACCTCAATCGCCTCATCAGCCAAATCGTCTCCTCCATCACAGCTTCCCTGCGCTTTGACGGGGCCCTCAATGTGGACCTGACAGAGTTCCAGACCAACCTGGTGCCCTACCCTCGCATCCACTTCCCCCTGGCCACCTATGCACCAGTCATCTCTGCAGAAAAGGCGTACCACGAGCAGCTGTCGGTGGCCGAGATCACCAATGCCTGCTTTGAGCCTGCCAACCAGATGGTCAAGTGTGATCCCCGGCACGGCAAGTACATGGCCTGCTGCCTGCTGTACCGTGGAGATGTGGTGCCCAAGGATGTCAATGCTGCCTTTGCCGCCATCAAGACCAAGCGCAGCATTCAGTTTGTGGACTGGTGCCCCACTGGCTTCAAGGTTGGTATCAACTACCAGCCTCCCACTGTGGTGCCTGGGGGTGACCTGGCCAAGGTGCAGCGTGCTGTGTGCATGCTGAGCAACACGACCGCCATCGCCGAGGCCTGGGCCCGCTTGGACCACAAGTTCGACCTGATGTATGCCAAGAGGGCGTTTGTGCACTGGTATGTGGGAGAGGGCATGGAGGAGGGCGAGTTCTCTGAGGCCCGTGAGGATATGGCTGCCCTGGAGAAGGATTATGAGGAGGTGGGCATCGACTCCTATGAGGACGAGGATGAGGGAGAAGAATAAAGCTGCTGCTGGAGCCTGTTCACTATGTTTATTGCAAAATCCTTTCGAAATAAACAGTTTCCTTGCACGGTTTCTTGTCCCCTCTGTGAGTGCTTGAGCTGCCGCTGCCCTCACTGTTTGCTGCTAATGATCCTTATCCCTTCCATGGCTGAAGGTGAGACCTGCCAAGGGGTCCTTGCCAGGCCCAGGAAGCATAACCCCAGGGACTTTAAATCGAAGTCCTAGGGGTACCTGGGATAGGGAGGAAATGAGGACCAAATCCAGGCACAAACTATTGAAGGATGAATCTTCGGTTTCTTTCAAGTAGTTTAATCCAGTAGTTTGTCTTTGAGAGTTAGACTGCTACCCTGTTCTTCCTGCCACCTCTACATTTACCAACTCTGGAAGCAAGGCTTGGCCCAGGCTCCTCTGCATTATGAGGGTTTGGGAGCGGGGCTGGGCTGGCCGGGAGTTCCTGGGCATGGAGCCACGTCATAAGCTTGGGGGATGGGAGGAAACACAGGCAATCTCCTAGAGTTGTTTGTGCTACTGCACCTCTGAGCAGCTTTGCATAGCTTCCTGTCTTGCTGCTTTGCTGGAGCTGGGGCTGTGCCATTAAAAGTCAGGTCATCTCCCCTCTGTTTGTGATTTATTTCTGGCCTCAGCCTCGGTGCTAGCTGGTGGGAGACTCCTGCTAGGGCCCCGGGGAAAGCTTCAACTTTGCTAACAGGAGCCCCAGGCCCCATGCTGATGTCAGCCTGGAGGGTGGGCATGGTTGGGGGGAGGAGGCTTGGATCACAAGAGCAGGAGATGCCAACCCTGCCCTTGCCTTTCCTCCCTGGTGATTCAGGGACAGTGCCCTTCCCTAGGGAACAGGTTTGACGCCCAGCTAAAACAGGGCCCCTGTTTACTCAGCAGAGTAGGCAAGAAGTGGCAGCTGGATACTGCCACACCACACTGCCCCATTAATCATTAACCATGTATGAGCTAGAACCATCAGGGAGACATGAGCCAAAACACTCCACTCCCCTTGCCCCTAGGCTGAGGATGGGAGATTGTAATGTAGCTGTCCCAAAGCTTCCTCAGGTGTCTCCACCCAGAGGCCCTTGCCTGGCAAACCGGCTGGGCTGCTTTGACAACTACTCAACCCAGGACTGAAGGAAGGAAAGAACTAGTTGGGTGCTTTTAGGGGGCCTTAGTCCCAGTTTTGACACAGGCAGACACCAGCTTAAGCCCAAGAAGCTTTAAGTTTTGATCTAAGACAAACTAGAACTGTCCACTGCTAACCAACCTCCTTCCATGGAATGAAGTCGCACCACTGCTGACTCTGCACCAGTCCCTCTTCTTCCCAGGCTGTTCACCTGGAAATGGCAACCAGACTCTGGGTGCCCCGCACCTCTTCTCTCACTCCAGGGACAGTGAGACTAAGATCCACACCAACCTGTTTCCACTTTATTCTTTATACATTCTCCTGCTCCCAGATTTGGAGGCAGAACATGATATGAGCTCAGCAGTCCCACTCAGAGCCATGTTCCATATCCCAGAAGTTTCCCTTTTCCCAACCCCCACCCACCCCCATTCAGTAAGGCTCCTTGCCCAGGTTTTGCTCTTGGAAGTAAGAAAGCAGAAGAGTGGATGCAGGACTGAGATGACTGTCCTGACCCCACTACCCCCAAGTGTAAGACAGCAGTCCTGGACGGAATGGGGGGAGATTCCAGTGAGGGATGGGAACCTCTTTCTAAGGCATGAGGGATCACCTTCTCAACATGCCACTGTTTTTTCAGATTTGGGTAGTGTGCTGGCCAGGAGCTGGGGGCTGTAGCTCCTCCAGCTGACTGAGGAGTTGAGGAATGTGAGGACGCTGCTGTGGGTCCACGGTCATCATCGAGGCCAGGAGCTGCCGCAATGCTGAAGAATGCCTGTGGAGGGAGGAGCTCAGGGAGACTGGATGACGCCTATCCGCCAACTCAGCTAAAACCAGGGGGGAGTCTGAAACACCTGGTGCCCATTCATTGCTTGCTCACCTGGGGCTTTGTGGGATGCTGAGTTGGTTCTGCACAGCAAGGGCCACACTGTCACCCTTCTGGAACACCATGTCATAAGGGCCTTCCCCAAACATCATGGCATATAGCACGCAGCCTAGGGACTGAGTATAACTTGGTTAGTCCCTAGAAAGGGACCAATGGAGGTGACATCTCTCTCCTTCTGTGGTAAAAGGAGACTATATAAGCTAAAAAGAATATGCTGACCTCAGCCACATGGCACCGCCAGGGCCCAGAGAAACTGCCAGTCAGCCAGAGGCCTCTGCAGCCCCTGCTTAGCCAGTGCCTTCAGTACTGACACTGAGCTGTATTCACCCTGTTCAGGGGCAGGGATTATACCACATCCGGTGCAATTGGGTACAGTATCAGTGACAGTTCCCAGGAAGGAAGTTGAAGTGGATGGGGACATATTGTGGCTCCTGGGGCCCCATGCAACAGAAACCAACAACTTACTCTACTCCACAGCGGGTACAGAGCCACAGCCCTCCCTACCCAGATGCCCACCTACATGCTCCTCACCCAGACATCAGTCCGCTCATCGATGACACAGTGACTCTGCACAGAGAAGAGTTCTGGGGCTCGGTAGGAGATGGTGCACCGCTGGGCTGCCCAGTCCTGGAACAGTGGTCCCAGAGCTCAAAAGTGGGGCACAGGGCATGGTCATGGGACCAAACCGGGGCATGCACCAGAAGGGGCGGGAATGGGGAACTGGTGAGAAAAGGAGCATGGAGACTCTTTTACCTGCAGGGTCAGGGCTTGGCGGGAGCCCTCCACATGGATGCATGCTTGATTCATGGAACCCAAGTCCATTAAAACTGGCTGCCCTTCATCTCCAAGCAATATATTGGTGGGCTTCAGGTCTCTGTAGGGAAGTAGAAATGAGCTGGACATCTCTGGACAGGAAGCCTGGAATCCCAGCGAGCAAAAGAATCATGCAGGCTGTTTCCTGAGAGAACAGAGACCTCCCATTTCTCTTAGTGAAGCTCTTCCTCTGGGCCCCAGCAAGCACACAGGGTCCTCCCACTAACCTGTGGGCATAACCCTTGGCATGAATGGCCTCTAGGCCTCTGCAGATCCCCAGCAGCAGCCGAAGGATTTGATCCTCAGTCAGGAAGTTGCCTTTGTCCTTCAGCCTTTCTATCTCATTCCACAGTGTACCTCTCTGCAACACAAGTTTCCCTACAGTTGGAGATGTTTTTGGAGTCTCTGCTCCCTAGGCCTGATCCCTTCCACGTGTCAAAGCCTATCAGCCCTTTCATGACACACACCTCAAACCCCAAATCCAAAGTGGCCAAACCCAGGACGTGGTCCCTGCTTCCTAACATGCTGGGCTGCTTACACAGCCCTTGGGTACGTGCCTCTGTTGCAACCCCCTCTATAACCAAGAGTCTTTCTGACCTTGAAGAATGGTAGCAGCAGCCAGGCCTCATGCTTAGCACCCCGCTCCCTCAGACAGTAAGCCACAAGGTGAAGGATGTTTGGGTGATTGAAGAGGTGATGCATGTCGGCTTCTCGCTGGGCCTCCTCCCGGTCCTGCTGCTCATGACACAGGATTCGCTTCAGGGCGTAGAAGTGTCCATCATGTAACCCTTCCACTAGGTCCACATAGCTGAACCCACTGTGGGCCAAAGGGGTCAATGAAGGGCCATGGTCATCTCCCACATGGCTTGGACCTAGAGAAATTTCCTGGTGGGGAGTGGGGTGTTCTTCCCATTTAGCAGAAACCCTCCCAAGATGTGGCTCTAAGTGAAATCTGAAGAATATTACGCTGTGAGCTCCTCAGGAGCAGAGATATAGAAATCTTTGAGGTCCCATGGTCATCATAGAGAGCTCTGCACCTGACAGAAGTAAATAATAGCCAACACTTATCAAGTACTTATGAACCAAACACTGGGTGAGACATTTTATAACATTATCTCATTTAATCCTCACAACTCCATCAGTGAGGCATGATAATCATCTCCATTAAGCAGACGAAAAGAAACATGGTTTATCAAGGTCACACGAAGTGGATTTAGCAGGCCTGGCTCCAGGATCCACCTTCTTGATACCGTGTAACTAAGCTCTGTCAGGTGAGAGAGGACAGGGATAGGGATAAAACCCTTGTGCCCCAAACATGTGCAGACCGCTGCCCTTCAATGACCATAAGCTTGAGGACTAGTTAATTGACTTCTAAACACTCACCCCTCCCCCAGTTTCTGGATGAAGAGGTAGCGCTTATTGTCAATGACGACAGTTCCCCGAGAGCAGACACACAGCGCGTGGCCCATAATGTCTCAGTCATCCTCTTCAAGGACGATCTGAGGCTACCGAAGAGCTCGTCCAGGGTGAGTGGGCTCTTCCAGGAGATGCTCCGGGAGCCCAGCGGATCATGCTGGAAAGAAAACAACGGCAGGGTCGCAGGTCCGGCACAATCCAGACGACCCGTGAAGTACCAAAGCGGAGAGCTCAGGCCCAGGTCTCTGGAACCTACACTACTGTCTAGGGGAAACAGGCCCTCTCCGTCGCCAGCTCCAAGGGTGGGGTCAGGGGCCTTACGGCCTCAGGGCAGACACACAGCGGCTACCCAGCCACTTCCTCCAACCCCAGCCCACCTTTGGGCAGCCCCGCTCCCATGCCCGTCGCGCCGCAAAGGCAGAGCACAGGGTAGTTTCAAAAGACGCGCGAGGCTCAAGCCCACTCCTGGCAGGGCCCACCCCTGGCTTCGGAGCCCAGAGCCCGGGGTGGGCCAGCTCACACTCCCGGACTGACCTGGCTCGGCCAGAGCGCAGCGCCACGGACCGGAAGCAGCGCTGACATCATCAGTCCGCACCGGCGCAACGGCCCGCGATATCTTAGCAACCGCCAGGCAACCGGAGGATGTGAGGGCGCGGAGCTGAGAAGCCCGGGGCGGGCTAGGCCTGGGGCGGACGGGTCGCAGGACCCTTGTGAGGGTTCTCTACTTGGCCTTCAGTAGGGGTCAAGACGCAGGCACCTGCATCAAAGGGGAGCAAAGCCGGGCTCGGCCCGAGGCCCCCAGGATCTCCATCACCCAATGTTGGAGGTAGGAGG